ACATGCATTTCCTGGAGACTTATCCTAACCTTAACCATAACCAACACATCCCTAACCCTAACCCTAACCCTTAACCTTACCCTTACCCTAACCCTTACCCTAACCCTAACCAAGTCTTCATCCTAAAATTAATGATCCCCCTTATGGGGACCTCCAATTTGTCCCCATAAGGGAAGCGAGTCCCCACACGTGACTATGTAAACACACACACACACACACACACACACACACACACACACACACACACACACACACACACACACACATTATTAAAGTGCAATGCATGAACACAGGAGGGAATATTCAAAAATGAGTCAAACTTAACATAAAATGCATTTTAAATTGCTTGCAAAGTAAAAATCAGCCCTTTTTCTTCAGTTGCAGAGAAAACTTCTGATTTAACTCAAAAATAACGAGAAATATTCTTAATTTTAGCACAATATCAAAATAAATCTTAAAAATATAAAGAAATATGAAAAAATAATTTGAATTTAATAAAAAACATTTAAGGACATAATGTCAATCCAGGCAGCAAAGAAAAACAATCATAGTTACATTTTAAAGTGCATTTTCTCCCAAAAGATAAACACTTATTTTCGCAGTCTTTCTCCTACAATCAGATTTATTGCAGCTCTTTTTAAAAGCTCAGAAAGAGTCTGCTTTTCTACAAATGGAGCTCGACCTGAAGTCACTTCCCTCTCCTCTCAGATCTCTGCTGTCCTCTGAAGAATAACACCGACTCTCTTTCTGTTCCCTCGCCTCCGACATGTCGCCCAATTAGAGTCCTTAAAGTCCTTCAGTGTCTCCGGAGCTTTCTGCTGTCACAGCGCTCACATCCTTTGCTCCGCTAGCTCGTTAGCTCGTCTCTTTCTATCTGAAAGGTCACGAGTCTCCATCGATGTGAGGCAGAGAGACGATGACGGCTTTTTATTGTACAATGCCTTGTCTTTTCTGCTGCTGCTGCAACGCGAACAATAAAGTACTTCTTAGCTTATCTTCATATTCCAGTAAATAGCCATATCCCTGAGTGTTTCTGCCCTCCTCCTCCTCCTCCTCCTCCTCCTCCTCCTCCTCTCCTCCTCCTCCTCCTCCTCCTCCTCCTCCTCCTCCTCCTCCTCCTCCTCAAGAAAAATAAATAACATAATGGAAGAAACAGTGACGTTAGTCAAATGCAGGGAAAAGTCAAATGTGACTGAAAAAGTGTGTGTTTTGAGTCGTTCCGTCTCATATTGCAGTCAGTAGTTCAAATGTTCTTATGACTCTGCAGCGAGTGATCGGTCTCTCTCTCAAAGATACTCATAGTTTTTATAGGATGCAGCCAACTTGTTTTTTAATCATCTGTTTACCTGCTGGTTGTTTTCTACACGAATCACACTTCCATAAAGTCGAGGTCGTGTCTTTAAACTTCAAATATATGAAGATGTAATGAATATAAATCTGATATAAAGATAGCTTCTAATGAACTGATCGTATTCCTGCAGCTCTGTCTTTGGATTGAGCTAATGTCGCATCACTTGAATAAGATTTCAAACTGAATGGCAGGAAATATTACTCATAACATCAAAAGTTGGCAGTTATTCCTCCATTGATCTGATACTTGATTAGTCGACTCATAATGAAAGGACACCAATAGAAAAACACGTCTTTAAATAGCTTGCCTGCTTGATGCCACACATGCAGGGCTTCAGGAGGAAAGAATGAACCTTCAAATGTATCCCGAAGTTTCCTGAACCGATGCAGGACGGCTCAAATGTGATCTCTAGTTTCATCTAATGTATAGTTTGTCTGCAGCATTTTCTAAACACTTGGGTTTGTGATCGGACTCAAGTGTTTATCCAATCCAACTTTATTTATATAGCTCATTTAAAAACACCAAAGTGCCGTACATCAACACATATATCAAAAGCAGCATAAATACATGTAGGTTTATGCAGGTGATTACAAAGTGGATATTCTATAGAAAATGAATGCATTGTTTTGAATCAGAGAGTAATTGAAAGATGTTGGAGGCGTGTTATATATTTGCTAAGGCTGACATCTAGTGGTTAAAAGGTGGTGTTACAGCCTGTTTGGAGGCATTGAGCCAGGTAGAAGAGAGGCTCATAAGTCATAATGAAAGATCGATATTAGTATTTAGCAATGGCGAACCGTCAGGGCCTTCAAGGTGACACCCTGGAACACTCAGATAACACAAACAACAAATTGATTTAATTATATAAATAAAATGAATAAATGAGGTATCCGTGTTGTTGATCTGTAATATCACAGTGTTACTTTGATGTGTTTCTCCTTCTCGGACCATGCACTACGCATTGAGTGGTGTTGTGTTAGAAAGCAACCAATCAGATCTTGTTCTGGGTCTCTGGGTAGAATATCCTTCACCACTTCGAGCGTTAGAACTATTAACGAAGCACTTTTATACTAATAAAGGACTGGCTTACCTAAAGCCAGTTGAGTAGCACTTGAAATGTTTGGCTCTATGAAACCTGATGTACTTTATGATTCTGTTTTCTTCAAGGTTGTGTCTTCCTGGTTGAATGTACTTATTGTAAGTCGCTTTGGATAAAAGCGTCAGCTAAATGTAATGTAATGTAATAATGTATTCTACATCCTTGATCGAAGGCCCTGGCCGTTGCACTGAATGAGAGCGTACGTTTGGACTGACAGTTTGATCAACCAATCATATATAGATTTGTAGCCAGTGGGCGTGTTCTTTCAGAGTTCCCCTCGGTTCCAGGTGCTCTAGAGCAGTGGTTCTCAAACTTTGTTCAATAATGTTCCCCCTTTGAAAATAAATGCAGCCAAGTCCCCCCTGATCAGCGCAAACACAATTTGTTAAGGAAGAAATGCCTATAAAGAGGTACAGCACAGCGCTGCACCATCAGAGTCTGAGTTCATTAAAACAACAACAGTAACTGAGAAACACTTAAATGCTACCTTTCAAATGTTTACAATCCATCACTAAATTCATGGCAAACCAATTTTAACATCAAGCAACAACACAGAGACGACATTAGCTGCATTGAACTGATCTGTTTAATAAGTTGTACAATTTAGTGAGACATGGCCTTGTGCTCACTGAGAGCTTTGTCATTCTGACAGGGAGGCTAACTGCAGTTATTACACTTCGTGTTTTGAAATATGTGAAACTAGTCTATTAACATAAAACCCACACGGCTCAAACTTCATTACTTCCTTAGTTTTCCTAAAATTGGTCAATTATCTATTTTTTCATTAACATAAAATAAATCTCACGTACCCCCTGCAGTACTCCAGCGTACCCCTAGGGGTCCGCGTACCCCCATTTGAGAACCACTGCTCTAGAAGGCCCGCTAGTTAACGGGCTCGAGCAGAGGATCTAGAACGCGACGAAGCAATTCATGCCGTTTTATTGTTTTTAACGTTGAAATGAAAAGAGCAACAAGTGGAGAGGAAGTTGTTGTGAGTTCTTTCCAAGACGACAATTCAGTGAAAAGACGGACATTATAATGCCGCGGAGGGGGGGGGGGGGGGTGTGGTGTGTGTGGTGTGTGTGTGTGTGTGTGTGTGTGTGTGTGTGTGTGTGTGTGTGTGTGTGTGTGTGTGTGTGTGTGTGTGTGTGTGTGTGTGTGTGTGTGTGTGTGTGTGTGTGTGTGTGTGTGTGTGTGTGTGTGTCTACGTCTACAGAAGGTCCAGTTGTGATGGCCACGGTTCGCCACTGGTATTTAGTGCTTGTACAACATCACAGAAGGAAAGGTTTACTGGAGCGCTCAGATTTAAGACTCTTTATTTAAAGACAAAGTTTGCATGCCAACATGTTTAGGACATAGAACATTGCATTACATTGCATTACATTGCATTGCATTGCATTGCATTGCATTACATTACATTGCATTACATTACATTACATTACATTACATTGCATTGCATTGCATTGCATTACATTGCATTGCATTACATTACATTGCATTACATTGCATTGCATTGCATTGCATTACATTGCATTACATTACATTGCATTACATTACATTACATTGCATTACATTGCATTGCATTGCATTACATTACATTGCATTGCATTGCATTGCATTACATTGCATTGCATTGCATTACATTACATTGCATTGCATTGCATTGCATTACATTGCATTGCATTGCATTGCATTACATTACATTGCATTGCATTGCATTACATTACAGTACATTGCATTACATTACATTGCATTGCATTGCATTGCATTGCATTACATTGCATTGCATTGCATTACATTACATTGCATTGCATTGCATTGCATTGCATTACATTACATTGCATTGCATTGCATTACATTACAGTACATTGCATTACATTGCATTTCATTGCATTGCATTGCATTGCATTACATTACATTACATTACATTGCATTACATTACATTACATTTCATTACATTGCATTTAGCTGACGCTTTTATCCAAAGCGACTTACAATAAGTGCATTCGACCAGGAAGACACAACCTTGAAGAAAACAGAATCATAAAGTTCATCAGGTTTCATAGAGCCAAACATTTCAAGTGCTACTCAACTGGCTTTAGATAAGCCAGTCCTTTATTAGTATAAAAGTGCTTTGTTAATAGTTCTATTGCTCGAAGTGGAGTCGAAAGAGATGAGTTTTCAGTCTGGAAGGTGTGTAAGCTATCTGCAACAGATAAAATAGTGCAATAGAATGTTTTGTAAATCAAATATAAATAGTTCAAGAAGAGTGAGCAGACGCTGGAGTTCAGAGGCTTTAAGAGACTGGGAGGTGCTGATCATCCACTGGGGGGCAGGAGAGGACCAGTTAGTGTGTAACACCAGAGAGAAAACAGCGTTAAGAAGAAAGTCAGACTGTTTTTCACCAGATGTCGTCCTGCAGCAACTGGATACGGATCTTATGAGAGTTTTAAATGTTAATCCTGGCTTTACAGAGCTACAGCACAAAGCTTTAACACAATTATAGAAACCAAAGACACGGCTTTAGGTGGATTTGTTTTGTTCTTAAAA